CTCCCTCCCACAACAACTACTTCCTCGACCTCCTGACCTCTCCTTCCCTAACGTGAGTTCACAACAAGACACTGACGGGAAGTACATTACCCTGGAGAAGTGTCTCAGGTCACCAGTTCACGGTCAAGGTAAGTACATCAAGGCTCGTACAATCTCCCCGTGTTATATAAACCAGCTGTTAAAACCTTTAGTATTTTCTGTTATATGTATATGATTTTAGCAGATAGTATTAATGTATGTATGGTTTATCAATGTCCCGATAGATTCTGTACATTCCTCTTATCGTTTTTCATATAATCTTCCCCGCACACAAGGCTTTAATAATCTCTGTTGGTATCTATATTTCACGTTCTTCCTCTCGTATACATTAACCCTTCATCCTCCTCTGTATAGTCCCATTCCCGTTCCATTATATATACCCTCTCCTTCAGGTCATCTCGCCGCCTGTATACAGTTCATCTTCGGGTCGTCCGGATAGTTTACTGCAGCGCCCGAGTCGTCCAGCTGCCAGTATGCGGGTCATCCTCGAGGTCGTTCTTGTCGAGTAAAAGGCACATAAGCTTCCCCCGAGTGTTACTTAGCTGGCAGTAAAGACATCACACACGTGGCCCCGGACCCCCCCTGGCCCCAGTGTTCCCGGCGACCTAAATGCCACAGCGATACTTATGCAAATGAAGGAAACGGCTCACGCGCAGTATACACCCCCACCAAGACCCATTCTTTCCCGAGGTAATTATACCCTACTTCTGGATCATACCGGCGCTCAGGATGAAATATTTATGCCCTTTGTCTCACAGCTGACGTTCTAAGGGTGAGGGGGGAAAGGGGGAAGAGGAGGAGGGGGGGAGAGGAGGAGAGGGAGGGGAGAAGAGGAGGAGGACGGAGGAAGAGGAGTAGGAGGGAGAACAGGATGAGGAGAGGGGAGGAATAGGAGTAGAAAGGAGGAGGAGGCAGGGGGTGGGGGGGACGGGTTGGGGTGGATGAGGGGGCGTGGAGGATGAGGTCAGGTTTCCAAGGATGAGCGGAGGCGCGGTGGGAGGGTTGAGGGTTAGAGGTGAGAACTCTTAACCCAGACGAGTCGAGTTGGTGATGGTAATGTGGGAACTGTGGCCAGGCAGAGGCGCTCACCTTCACTACTTAACACTCCTGACACTACACGTCTCTCTCTCTCTCTCTCTCTCTCTCTCTCTCTCTCATTATCTGTGTCTTTCTTTCTCTTGGTTTTGTTCTTATTCCTAAAAGTTCACCACATCTGTCACCAGTTCACTAAGATGTATGAAACAATAATGACTAAATCGAGTTGATTATCAAAACATTTCTGTGTAGGACCGAGGCTCTTCACAACACTACGACGTCAACATTGTATCAAGACCTAAGACGGTGTTTTGGTCTACTGTGCCATGATAATACTTCACTACAGTACTGCCTGTAGGATGTTGGAGAGAGAGAGAGTCCTTGAGGTCTTCAGGCACTGTGATCCCGAGCTGACTCTGGGTAAGGTGATTTGAGTCTTAGTAACATTGTATATGATTAATTGAATGAGTCAGGTAAATCAGTTTTAGTTTTAACGTCGACTGAGTTAATTAATCATAATCTTTCAGTGGTGACTTGGTTCAATAATCTCCTTTGGTCTCTTGTTTATCCATCAATTTACCACGCACGCACGCACGCACGCACACACGCGCGCACACACGCGCGCACACACGCGCGCACACACGCGCGCACACACGCGCGCACACACGCACACACACACACACACACACACACACTCTTGCTCCTTAACCTCCAAGCTCCTTACATCCTCCTCCCCGCCACCGTCTCCTAAATTTCACTTCACCTCAATCTCAGATCCCGGACAGCGGCTACACGAGGTGGCTTGTCTTCCTTAATCAAGTGCTCACACGGAACACCTCGACCACTCACCTCCGCTTAGTGGGACTTTTTAAAACTTATTTATCAGGTTATTTCATCATTATACATTGCTTCATCGTGTATAAGGATACTACTCTCTGATCCTTCGTCCTGCTGTGTCCTTAATGTTCCCTTAAGCCTTCCAGGATCAGCAGGATCTTAGGTCCTCAGCAAGTCATTCCGAGTCCTCCACCACGACCAGGTCATCAGTCCCCACCACGACCAGGTCATCAGCAAGACGGATAGCGGAGCGACAGTTAGCGAGGCGACCTGGCATCATCAACATAACAAAAAGCTAACGCCGCCACGCCCACGCCTCGCCCACGCCTCGCCCACCCCCTCACGCCCCCAAAATCCACACTCAAGACGTGGTAATTTTGACCCCTCGGGCGTCAGTGAAGTACTTGGTGAAGTTCTGAGCTCCTCTGTGTGAGAGAGGACCCCCCCCCCCTCCCCACTTGCTGGAGTCCTGAGGCTATGAAAGGGTCTCGAACACCTTAAGACCCAGACTGGGTGATTATTGAACCTCTGGGAGCTACTGAACAGTGAACACCAAGGTAGGTAATTAGGTTGGTTGGAGCTCACGTGCAGATGTTCAAACTCGTGAACACACTCTGAGCCCTAAGCTGGTGTTCACTCGGTGAGTCGGTGGATATTGAGCACCCAGGAGGTTCTAAGCCCCAGTGAGGACAAGTGTTGAGCTCCATACTCAAGGATGAGTTCCAGTCTCGACGCACTTAAGATCCTGAGACCATGATGTAATCTGCATGTTGGCAGGGAGTGTGGGCGGGTACCGTGTAGTGAACAACCCGCACCCTCCACTCCTTCCCACGCCCTACCTCCCTCCCACAGTATTTTCCTCCTACAATCCACCTCACCCACTACATCCCTTCCACATTCCTTTCCACTACCACCTCCCATGTACAGTGCCTCTCCACGGGTCGCCCCTACCACCACTACCCTCACCTACTATCACCACCACTACCCTCCCCTATCACCACCACTACCTTCCCCTATCACCACCACTACCTTCCCCTATCACCACCTCACCCTCCCCTCCCTTCCCTATACTACCCTCCCTATCACCACCACTACCCTCTCTCCCTATCACCACCACTACCTCCCCTCACTCTCTCCCACTACCTTCACTCTCCCTATCACCACCACTACCCTCCCCTAACACCACCTCCTCTCCACCTCACCCCCACACATCCCAGTACACACCACCAGACAGCGACGAATGAGAGATAAGAAATACCGAGAGGCAGGGAGGAATGACTATCAGGAGAGAAGTCTGGTCGCTTGTAGACATGGCTACAACAACGGAGGGTTACAGGCTCTCGAGTTTGTGATGTTGGACAAAAAAAAATAGGATTACCAGAAGATTAGCCCCCCACCCCCCCACCCCCATACCCCCCCCACCCCCCCCACCCCCCTCCCACCGAGCTTACCTGATGATTAAACACCTTAACGTTACCTGGGAGGGTTTGGTTTGGTTTTGGTTAGGTTAGGTTCGGCAGTACTATAGAGCCTTACTGATAGGGGGTGGGGGAAGGGCTGATGCCTCATTGCATAATAAATATCCTCAAGCATATAATAGTAAACAATGCTCATAAATTAAAACAATAAATTTAACTCTTTTATCATTGTCAGAGAACGAAAGAGAAAAGAAAGAGAGAGAGAGAGAGAAAGAGAGACCCTCACCGTACACAATATATCACAACTGAATAATGAAGTCACGTATAATGTGTTTTCTACCAACCTGTACCAGACAGCAGTAAATATCTCGTCATATATGAATTATACAGCATTACGAGAGAGATACACCCCACCCACCCTACTGCCCACCCTACCGCCCACCCTACCCCCCCTCTGACGCCCATCCTACCCACAACATCATCCACCCTACCCTCCACACCGCCTATCCTATCCATCCCGCCGCCCACCCAACACCCGTAGACATCCTGACATCTGTGAAGTGTAAGGATGAGGGATGGGTTGGGTTAGGTGGAGGATGAGGGTGGAGGATGAGGGTGGAGGATGAGGGTGGAGGATGAGGGTGGAGGATAAGGGTGGAGGATGAGGGTGGAGGGTAAGGGCTGATGGCGTATGTGAGGGTGGAGGGTAGAGCGTGAGGAGTGGGGAAGCCTCACATGGGCGGCGCCCCTGGGTGACGGGCGGGGTGGGTTGCCTCCTGACGGTATCACCTCTCAGAATCGACAGTGATGGAAGGCCGGTTGAGGTGATGCTTCTCCCGGCCCATCATTATATAAATATACCTCACTGTACTTCACCATCCCGGCCCTAACCTACACCCATAACTGCCACCATCATCACCACTATCACCATCATAAGGACAATCAATCATCATCACCATCATTACCCTCACCACTATCATCAAAATCACCACCATAATTACCATCAATCATCATCACCATCATCACCACTATTACCACCATCACTTGGGAATAATCATCACGGCAGGTAAACCCGACCAATTTGGACACAATCACCAGCAATCAACACCACCTGTGTAAATCACCACGACTCTATCACCAATTTACTAATCACTCTTACTAAATTAACACTGCCATATCACCAGTACTAATCATTATGACTGTTTCACCATGAGCAACACCAATGATTCGGACATAATCACCAGCATCAATCACCTGACCACACCAGCAACACCCTTATCACCAATATCAATCACTGGGGGTAAAATCAACATGACCATGTCACCAAAACGGAGTCAATCCAGTCTTTAATCACCAGGACAGTATCACCAAGAGAAATCATTCCAAGTCAACAGCACCAAATCGAACCAATCACTCGAGCTCACATCACCACACTCATACTCATATCACCACACTCAAGCTCATATCACCACACTTATACTCATATCACCACACTCAAGCTCATATCACCACACTCATCTCATATCACCACACTCAAGCTCATATCACCACACTCAGCTCATATCACCACACTCATCTCATATCACCACACTCATCTCATATCACCACACTCAAGCTCATATCACCAGGACCAATAAGAACCAGATCCAAACACCAAGTTGTTTTACTCACCAGCTATCTCCAGCGTGGCGTTCCTGCTGGTGACCTTCCCGACGGAGTTAGAGGCGACGCACCAATACACCCCAGCATCGTTGTCCTTCTTCGTGTGCAGCACCTTCAGGAAGAACAAGCCTCCTGTGTCCAGCTGTACGTGACGCCCTTTGTGTAGGCTGTAGGAGAGGTGAGTAGAGTCAGGGGATGAACGTGTGAGGAAGAGAATGATAAACACTGATTCCTTTGAAGGCAGAAGATGAAGAACATAAGAACGTAAAAAAAAGAGAGAGAATACGTAATAGGTCAAGATAATAAAGAGTAAATGAATAGAAAATAATAATAGGAAAGTGTGAAAGAGGGAGATGATTAAATGGGAAATAAAGGTAAATTGACAAATAATATATAGAGAAGCTGGGGAGAGAGAGAGAGAGAGAGAGGGAGAGAGAGAGAGAGAGAGAGGGAGAGAGAGAGAGAGAGAGAGAGAGAGAGATATATACATCCACTATAGCCAAAACACACAATGTGAATTCATCGACCAATTAACCGTTTATTAACAAATATAAGCAATTCTCCCAAATTTTCCCCATTAACAATCTAAAAAAATAGCATCATAATCATATCTCCCTCAATATTAAAGTCTCATTAACTAATAAGCCTCAGGTAAGGTACTAAATCACCAGGTGTTACAGGTAGACTCACTCGAAAGGTTGGCCATCCTTGTACCAGGTGATGTCCGGTTCAGGTCTGCCTACAGCATGACAGTTGAGGGTCGCTGGCTCGTTCTTCGGCACCAGAAGGTCAGCTGGGTGTTCCGTGATCTCCGGTGACCGATATTGACCTGAAACAAAGAAGATATAAAGTTTAGTTACAGGTACAGTTAATTAAAAACAAATATATACAAGAACAGGAAAATACAATAAAAATAGGTCTTTTCAAACGGGGCGGTGTGTTGGTTGTGGGTGGGGCGGTGTGTTGGTTGTGGGTGGGGCGGTGTGTTGGTTGTGGTGTGTGTGTGGTGGGTGGGGCGGTGTGTTGGTTGTGGGTGGGGCGGTGTGTTGGTTGTGGGTGGGGCGGTGTGTTGGTTGTGGGTGGGGCAGTGTGTGGTGGTTGTGGGTGGGGGCGGTGTGTTGGTTGTGGGTGGGGCGGTGTGTGTTTGGCGGTGTGTTGGTTGTGGGTGGGGCGGTGTGTTGGTTGTAGTGTGTTGGTTGTGGGTGGGGCAGGTGTGTTGGTTGTGGGTGGGGTGTGGTGTGTTGGTTGTGGGTGGGGCGTGTGTTGGTTGTGGGTGGGGCGGTGTGTTGGTTGTGGGTGGGGCTGTGTGTTGGTGTGGGGTGGGGCGGTGTGTTGGTTGTGGGTGGGGCGGTGTGTTGTGCGGTGTGTTGTGGTTGTGGGTGGGGCGGGTGTGTGTTGGTGTGTTGGGTGGGTGGGGTGGTGTGGTTGTGGGTGGGGCTGGCTTTGGTGTGGGGTGTGCTGGTTGTGTTGTGGTTGGGGCGGTGTGTTGGTTGTGGGTGGGGTAGCGTGTGTGGTTGTGGGTGGGGCGGGTGTGGTTGTGTGGTGTGGGCGGTGTGTTGGTTGTGGGTGGGGCAGTGTGTTGGTTGTGTGGGGCGGGTGTTGGTTGTGGGTGGGGTGCTGCGGGTGTGGTTGTGTGGTGCGGTGTGTTGGTTGTGGTGTGGGTGTGGGTGTTGGGTGGGGTGTGTTGGTTGTGGGGGGCAGTGTTGGTTGTGGGGGGGCAGTGTGTGTTGGTGTGTGGGCTGTGGGTGGGGCGGTGTGTTGGTGTGGGTGGGGCGGTGTGTTGGTTGTGTGTGTGGGGTGGTGTGTTGGTCGGGGTGGGCAGTGTGTGTGTGTGTTGGTGTGTGGTGTAGGGGGTGGGGCGGTGTGTTGTTGGTTGTGGGTGGGCGGTGTGTTGGTTGTGGGTGGGGCGTGTGTTGGTTGTGGGTGGGGGTGTGTTGTGTGGGTGGGTGGTGTGTTGGTGGGTGGGGTGGTGTGTGTTGGTGTGTGGGGCGAGTGGTGTGTTGGTTGTGGGTGGGGTGGTGTGTTGGTTGTGGGTGGGGTGTGTGTGGCAGTTATGTGTGTTTGTGTGTGTGTTTGGGGCGGTGTGTTGGGGTGGTGTGGTGGTGGTGTGGGTTGTGGGTGGGGTGGTGTATGTGCGGTGTGTTGGGCGGTGGTGGTGTGGTGTGTGAGTGGGCGGTGTTGTTGTGGGTGGGCAGTGTGTTGTGGGTGGTGTGTGGGTGTGGGTTGTGTTGTTATGGGTGTGTGTGGGTTGTGGGTGGGGCGGTTGTGTGGGTGGTGTGTTGGTGGGGCGGTGTAGTGTGTTGGTTGTGGAGTGGGGGTGGGGCGGTGTGTTGGTTGTGGGTGGGGCGGTGTGTTGGTTGTGGGGTGTGGGCGGTGTGTTGGTTGTGGGTGGGGCGGTGTGTTGGTTGTGGGTGGGGCAGTGTGTTGGTTGTGGGTGGGGGGGCGGTGTGTGTTGGTTGTGGGTGGGGGCGGTGTGTTGGTTGTGGGTGGGGCGGTTGTGTTGGTTGTTGGGTGGGGCAGTGTGTTGGTTGTGGGTGGGGCGGTGTGTTGTGTTGTGGGTGTGGGCTGGTGTGTTGGTTGTGGGTGGGGGGCGGTGTGTTGTGTTGTGGGTGTGGGCGGTGTGTGGTGTGTGGTTGTGGGTGTGGGTGGGGCGGTGTGTTGGTTGTGGGTAGGGTGTGTGTGTGTTGTGGGTGGGGCGGTGTGTTGTGTGTGGGGCGGTGTGTTGGTTGTGGGGTGGGGCAGTGTGTGTTGTGTTGTGGTTGTGGGGGGGGCGGTGTGTTGGTTGTGTGTGGGTGTGGGTTGTGTGGGTGGGGCAGCGGTGTGTGTGGTTGTGGGTGGGGGGGCGGTGTGTTGGTTATTGTGTGGTTGTGGGTGGGGCGTGTGGGTGGGGCGGTGTGTTGGTTGTGGGTGGGGTGGGGCGGTGTTGGTTGTGTGTGGGGCAGTGTGTTGTGGTGGGGCGGTGTGTTGGTTGTGGGTGGGTGGGGTGTGTGGTGGTTGTGGGTGGGGCGAGCGGTGTGTTGGTTAATGGGTGGGCGGTGTGTTGGTTGTGGTGGGCGGTGTGTTGGTTGTGGAGGTGTGGGCGGTGTGTGTGGTTGTGGGTGGTGGGGCGGTGTGTTGGTTGTGGGTGGGGGGGCAGTGTGTGTGGTTGTGGGTGGGGCGGTGTGTTGTTGGGGTGTGTGGGTGTGGGTGGGGCGGTGTGTTGGTTGTGGGTGGGGCGGTGTGTTGGTTGTGGGTGGGTGTGGGGCGGTGTGTTGTGGGTGGGGCGGTGTGGGTGGGGTAGCGGTGTGTGGTTGGGTGGGGCAGTGTGCGGTGTGGTTGGTGTGTTGGTTGTGGGTGGGGTGGAGCGGTGTGTTGGTTGTGGGTGGGGCGGTGTGTTGGTTGTGGGTGGGGTGGGTGGTGTTGTTGTGGGTTGTGTTGGTGGGGGGTGGTGTGTTGGTTGTGGGTGGGGCGGCGTGTTGGTTGTGGGTGGGGCGGTGTGTTGGTTGTGGGTGGGGCGGAATTGTGGTTGATTATCTCATTACCAAAAAGGTTGAACAATGGCTCCTCTGTAAACACCAATCACCAAAAAGACTTAATCCTGGTAATATTGTTGTATATAAACCATTACACTAGAGTCAGGCAGTATCTAATCTCTTCAGTATTTTATCTGTTTCCGAGTATCAAAATAATAAAAAAGTCTTAAAAAAATATAAAAAAAAGACCTCTGTATCCTAAAAGCTTTAGCCTGTGATATAAAAAATCTGTTTTATACGAATCTGACATTTTGTAACTCACAGGTAAATATATAAATTCAATTTCAACTTCATAAAAAATCAAGACACATTTTTGAGTAGTTTCGGTAAAGCCGGATTTCGTTTGATATTTTAAAGGTCAAATTTAATGTCGAGTGATGGAGATATTTAGAGAGCCGGGCCGGTACACCCCCCCCCACCCCCCGCCCCTGGGACTCGTATTCCACTGATATGTTGAGAGCGCGGGCCAGGTTCCACCCAGGGCCAGGTTCCCCCCAGGGCCACTTTCCCCCAAGGGCCCCTAAATACCTCTGGGATGGCGGGCAATAGGTAAACAGGGCGAGACACAAGCCGCCAGGTGGAGACCATTAAGTGACTCACTTGAGTCGCCACCACCACTACCGCCGCCGCCATCACTACCGCCGCCACCACCACTGCCACCACCGTCGCCCTACCACCACCGCCGCCACCACCACCGCCAGCACCACTTCTGCCACCGCCGCCGCCATCACTACCGCCACCACCTCCACTACCGCCGCCACAAATATCAACTTCACAAAAATGCAACAAAACACTCCGGTTAAAAAAGCCAGACGTCTGCAAGTTCATCCTCACAGGTAAGAAGAGGAGCAACACAAGGCCCAGTTGCATGGCCATTAGCGGTGATAAACATAACAATAGCTGTTACAAATTGACTCTTAGGCAACAATGGGCGCGACAACCTTCCCGACCCGCAGTATGAACAATAAGCGCTGAGTAAACACTATTAACTCCCGGCAGAGTTTTGTGTGACCACCTCCGCCTGGCTAACACACTACCGCCTGGCCAACACACTACCGCCTTTACGTATTCCCATTAAATGACTTGTTTGTTGTCTTGCTTTTTACTTTATAACGGCATTTAGCGTCAATTCCTGAAGATTAAAGTGTCGGAGGAGGCTTGAGGCTATTTACCGCACACACACATGCGCGCTGCCTTCCTCACCTCCCCTCCCCGCCCAGGAAACACTACACTATTTTCGTTTAACATTTTTACTGGCGACGCTTCCTGCCCAGTAATTTACTAGTTCCTCTTGTGCCTCTCCTCTGTGTACACCAACAAGTATTTGGCAACAACATCCACTGAACACATTCATTTAGATCCCTGTACCTATAGTCATATGTATATATAAAGACAGAGATATCAGGTTACAGACTTAAGACACGCATACTAGTACTCGCTCATCATACTCGACACACTACGAGTACATTACAGACACTATCATGGCCACCCCAGGATATGATAACAAATTAAGTTATCTCAGTCTTAATCCTTACCTTACTTACGTCCTTCAAGAGTTAATTAATCAGGTAACTCCTCCCAGGTAACGTGACCGACCGTGTTCCAACTCAAGAGGCCACAACACTGTATATTTGACGGTGTAGAAGGACTCAGGTAGTACGGAAATAATACTGGAATCCATTGTTAGTTTCTCCATCTCTCATAAACACGTTGGCTTTACAGGGTCTCTCATGAAGCGAAAATTCGTCTGTGTCCAAAACGCTGCATGGTACGTCAGCAGGTAACTTCTGCTTCCGCTCTGACTCTTTCTTTACCTGGTAACCTGAGAAGGAAGAGGTCAGCTACCTATGGTGTGTGGGGCCCGGCTGTAGTACCTCCCACCCCCTAAAATTATATAACTGGTTGTCTTTCCGAAACTTTTTTCTTTGCTGGATAACACACCTGGAAATTATTTAGAGCTAGTTATATATATTTCAACAGTTGTTTTGTGTTTAAGTTTAACAGAGTACGAGCTTAAAGAGTTTTGTTACTAAATACGAGAAATATAATATTACAACAACATTTATTTATTAAACTTGAAATATTGTAACAAAAAATATGTCATTTCCTTTTACACAATATGTTTTATTTCTCAAAATAACTAAAGTAGAAGTTAATAATGTTTTGGGCCAGGGATATTATTATTATTATTATTATGACAGTGAGGTGTAGCTAAGTACACCACCAGCAGAGCATTGTTAGCTTCTGTGCCGCAAAAAATTTTGACGCCAACTAAAACTACCGCCTCCCTTTCTCCCTCCCTCCCTCCCTCCCTCAAACAACAGTTCCCGTGCATATGTTACCTCTTACCTGCCTCTCCCTACCCACCTGCACTCTACCTCCCCTCCCTCCTATCCCCTCTGACCTCCCCCTCCCTCTCAACCCAGCAGCTGCAGTCCTCTCCCTCCCACCCATCTCTCTCTCCCCGACCCCTCCCTCTTTCCTAACCTTGGTAAGAGGCTTCAACATTAAGCTGCTTCAGAGGGCTTCTTGGGCTTCTCTTAATTACTACCGGCCATGTGATAGCCCCCCCGCCACACCTGCTGCCCCCCCCTACCTCCCCTCCTCTCTCTTCTTCATCTCCCACCTGCATCATCATCCTCTCTCTCTCTCTCTCTCTCTCTCTCTCTCTCTCTCTCTCTCTCTCCAGTCGATCATGTTGCCCTCCTAACTCCCCTCCATATTTCCCTCCAATGCCCTCCACTGCCCTCCACCTTCTCATTCAATTCTCCTTCTCCCTCCATTCGCCTCAGGATTACCTTTACTGAGTCCTTAGTTATTATCCTTCCTCTGTGTTCACCCTTCCAACCTATTGTCTTCCTCCTCCTCTTCTTTTTTTCTTTATTTCTTTGTTTCTTGTTCTTGTCCCTCAGCCTCCGTCACATCCCACTGCAACCATCAGTTCTCACCCTCGTTCCCTCTCACCTCTCAGGTCCCCCTCAAACACCCCAGGTCCTCTTCCAACACCCCAGGTCCTCCTCCAACACCCCAGGTATTCCTCCAATTCCTTAGATCCTCCTCCAACACCCCAGGTCCTCTTCCAACAGCCCAGGTCCTCCTCCAACACCTTAGATCCTCCTCCAACACCTCAGGTCCCCCTCCAACAACCCAGGTACCCTCCAACAACCCAGGTCCTCCTCCAACACCTTAGATTCCCCTCCAACACCCCAGGTCCTCCTCCAACCCCGTAGATACTCCTCCAACACCCAGGTCCTCCAACACCCCAGGCCCTCCTCCAACACGATCCTCCCCCAACACCCCAGGTCCCCCTCCAACCCCCTCAGGTCCTCCTCCACACACCCTGCAGCTACTCAACCCCCCCCAGGACACCAAGAGGGAGGAACCTTTCATCAACTTCCTCACTAGACGACTGAGACAAAAGACTTGCTGACCCTCCATCACACCTCAGTAACTCCCTCCTTCTCCCCCTCCTTCCTTCCTTCTCCTCCCCTCTCTCTCTCGTCCTGTTTCCCTCCTCCTCACCCAAGCCTACCCCTCTCTCCCTCTCTCTTCTCTCCTTCCTCCTGCATTCCCTTCCTTCCTCTACTCCTACCCCTCTCTCTCCTCTTCCTCCTCCATGCCTCCTCCCTCCCTCATCCTTCTCCCCTTTCCTCTCCTGCATTCATTACCCTCCCGCACACCTCCTCCTCCTCCTCCTCCACCCACGCACACTCTCACAAACGTCGGTGAGTGCAGCTGCCTGGTGCTTGAGGGTGCAGGGTGGGGCGAGGCGGGGTGGGGCGGGGCGGGGTGGGGCGGGGCGGGGTGGGGTGTGACAGGGGTGAGAACGAGAGAGAGGGGGTGGGAAGTAGGGCGGTGGGTGCTAATTAGATCATTCAAGTTTGATCAATTATTCGTTTTCTATTGACAACTCTTCCACGTCTCAGTCATCAGGATTCAATCTATTACAACTGACAACAATTTCTCCCTTTTATTAATTAACATCTAATGAAAAATGTATCACTAAATTGTTTAAATAAATAGAAAATTAAGTTTGGTCTTGTTAAAACTGTATAAAACACTCGTCTATTACCCGTGCTCAGTAAGGGAAAAAATGACTAATTTAATATAATGAACAAATTTACAAAGTATTTCAATATTGATGAACAAAAAAACTTAAGATTTATTATAAAATTATTGCCATTATCGGGGCTACACACAGACTAGAGTCCGGCATCGTGTGAATAGTTTCTCTTTTACATCATCTCCCTCCCTCACTCTTCCCTCCCCGTCTCTCTCTCTCTCCCTTCCTGCCTCCCTCCCCTCTCTCCCACCCCACTCAACTAGGCTCAGGTTACCCCTCACCCCCCTCACCCCCCCTCACCCTCTCAAAAGGAATCAGTTGGATCAATAAGGAATTCTTCGCCCTGATTAACCTTGTGCATCAGGACCAACTTGTGTTCGTAAATACCAATCTTGATGTGTCAACAGAACGTGATATTGACCTGATGTGAACTTGGCTTCCCGACCTCTACCGACCTTTGAGGCAGCCACCCACCACAGGTAAACGTGGCTCTCATTTGAGGTTTCTTCAATAAAAGGAACTTAACTCAAAGGTTAGGTTAGGTTAGTGAAAAATGACGCCACAAAACTCAGTAGGTAAATCGTATACAAATAATGTAACAGTACAGCTAGACGTTACAATGTATGTATGTATGTATGTATGTATGTATGTATGTATGTATGTATGTATGCTTGCCTTAATATTTTCGTTATGTTTCTCCGTATCTTCGTTAGTCTCATGCTGTCACATCACCTGTAGTTGTTATCAGAGACAAGTGTTGGCCACGAGCTCATTAACCAACACTCAGTGCCACCCCTCTATGCGGGACACCATCATCAGTGCCACCCCCTCTATGGACGTCATCAGTGCTATAGACACCATCATCAGTATACACGTCATCAGTGCCACTATACGGGACGTCATCAGTGCCCTCTATACGGGACACCATCATCAGTGACGGGTCATCAGTGCCACCCCTCTATACGGGACGTCATCAGTGCCACCTCTATGCCATCATCACACTCTATACGGGACACCATCATCACCTCTATACGGGACACCATCATCAGTACCACCCTCTATACGGGACGTACGGACGTCATCATGCCACCCTCTATACGGGACGTCATCCCTCTCTATACAGGACACCATCATCAGTGGGACGTCATCAATGCCACCCCCTATACGGGACACCATCATCAGCCACCCCTCTATACGGGACACCATCAGTGCCACCTCTATACGGGACACCATCATCAGTGCCACCTATCCATCAGTGCGACCTCTCTATACAGGACACCATCATCAGTGCCACCCCTCTATACGTCATCAGTGCCACCTCTCTATACGACACCATCATCAGTGTACGGGACGTCATCACACCCTCACGGACACCATCATCAGTACCACCCCTATACGGACGTCATCATGCCACCTCTATACGGACGTCATCAGTGCCCTATACGGGACGTCAGTGCGACCTCTCTATACAGGACACCATCATCAGTGCCACCCCTCTATACGGGACGTCATCATGCCACCCCTCTATACGGGACGTCATCAGTCTTATACGGGACGTCATCAGTACCACCCCTCTATACCATCAACGTCGAATACCTGTCAGCCATTCTTTACTTTTTTCTGTTTTATTATATTTGTCTTTTTACGTTTTTATTATTATTTTTTTTTTATTTAAGTATTTGTTATTATTGGGTTCCTCTTCTGTTTCTCTCTCTCTCTCTCTCTCTCTAATCACTTATTTTATCTCTTCCTACACTCCTTCCTTCGCCCTCCACTGTTAGCCTCCCCTCGACCGTCAGCCCTCACCTCGACCGTCAGCCCTCACCCTCGACTGTCAGCCCTCCCTCGACCGTCAACCTCACCTCGACCGTCAGCCCTCGACACACTATGGTTGACGACGACGTTGATTACCCACTCGTATATATCCTCAGGTTCGATATTTAAGCTCAAAGGAGAGGGCGGGGTGGAGAAAGGGAGGGTTTGGAGGTGGGAGGTGGGGGGGTGGGGGGCTTGTTGAAGGCCGTCCCTGCCCCTCCTACGCCGCCCCCAGCACCAGGTATTGTCTTGGACTTGGCTTCATCAGGGTACATCAGTCATTGCTGAGGGGGGGGAAGAGAAGGAGGTGACATGAGTACAAGGGGAGGAGGAAGGGAGGAAGGAGGAAGAGAAAGGGGAGGAGGAGAGGACGAGAAAGGAGTAAATAGGGAAATACTTGGAAAATTAGACGAGATGGTCTATCGAGAACAATTGTGAGACGAGGGGAAGAGGAGGAACAATTGGTAGATGAGAATGGGAGAACTCGGGAGATAATGACGTATAACACAACATGATGATGGCCGCCGGGAGGGGGTGATGGGTGGGTCCCTCTCTGGCTTCCTAACTTTTATTATTTACTCTTGAGTGTATTTACATCATCGAGTGACCGAGTGTATCTCTTGCCTACACGCTGCTACAAACACTGACCGTCACTCCTGCCATACACAAAACAGGGGGAGAAAATATCATGAGTTAATATGTACAGGGCTGCCACCACCTAGCCTCTGTATGGACGCCGACAAGCAAGACAGCTGGGTGGGGGTGATAGAACAGCTTTCATGGGTTGTAGGTAGTGATGAAAATGTGGGTCCCATAGAGAGTGTGGGATACAGCACACAGTATATTAAGCCTTTGGTATACAAGGAGGCTACATGGCTGGTACTGCTCTCTATTGCCTTCACTTCCCCAGCTTGTAAACACAGGTACCCATTTATACCTGGGTGAACTGGGAGAGCCAAGGGATCGAACCAAGTACAAGTGGCGAGTGTCGTATCATCTCGCCCACTTGTACTGGCAGACGAGCTATATTAGTCCGAGTAGTAGTAAGAAAACAGTAATAGTAACAGAAAACGATTTAACAGGAGCCACTGACGCAGAATAACAGTAATGATAACACCTGTTGTAAATTTACTAGACAATAATGTAAAAAAAAAAAACACTGTTTGTATGTGTAAAAAATAAACAAACTTCACAAGAATTCACTGTATGGACAATCTACCTCACCTGTGCTCGGGTTGATTAAATGAGAGACAGGTGTGGATGTTGTTACTATACTGTCCCTTATCTACAAAATACCTGAGAAAGATAAAACTACTACTTGTTGCCGTCACTCTACCAGAAAAGTGTGAGAGCTGTTCCTGGGTCGTTTTAACTGATAATAACAATAACACAAGGAGGTTTAATCTCTTGGTTTAATCTTTTGGTTTAATCCCTCCAGTACAAAGCTTAAAGTGTCAAAGTATCATCCAGTAATTAGTGACACTTCTCTTCACTACAAGTTTGTTAACAATCATCACAACCTAACCTAACCTATAATGAATTTTATATAACGAAATATATCTTGTGTGTGTGTGTGTGTGTGTGTGTGTGTGTGTGTGTGTGTGTGTGTGTGTGTGATTCAATTAACAGCAAAATAATTAAAACTGGATATGATCAAACGCTCAGTCTCTACCCTTTAACATAAAACTACCATCGGTACAAAGAGAGTCACCATATTGTCAGGTAAAAAAAAAGTGAACATTTTCTCTTTTTTTCTATTTTCTTCTTATAGCATAAATCGCATCGTTGAGTTGGCAAATGACACACACAAAAAAAGTTTGTCGGAATTGTTTTTGTTCCGTGCGTGTGGTGTTAGTGCGGCGGGGGGGGAGGGGAGGAGGAGTGGGGAGGGGAGGGGGATAGGGGAGGAGGAGGGGGAGTGGTAAGAGATGGGGATGGAGGATGGGGAGGAAAAGTACATATGGATTGTGGGATGGAAGAGGAAGAGGAATAGGAAGAGACTAGGGCGAGAAAGGAAGAGGAATAAGAGGGATGAAGAGAAAGGAGAGGTTAATAGGAAGGAAGAGTTAGGAGAGAATGAAAGAAGGAGAAACTAAGAGAGATGAGGAGAAGAGGAAAGGGGGAAAAGTATGTTTATATTCCTCTCCCACACACTGCCTCCCTCACACCTCCACACACCTACACCACACCTGCATCACACCTGCTACACTAACACTCATCCCTCAACCACTAATGAGAACTACAGAACGCGACACCAGACCAACCAAACCTTATCACAACCACCACTAATAATCTCTTCCATAACCCGTATATATACAAAAAAACACAACAACAACAACAACTAGTCAAGGATCCAGTTCATTGAAGATCAAACGCTGACCTTAAAAAAAAAAGATAAATAGATAGAACGTAAAAGGAGGGAAAAAAAGGGAGAACGAGAGGAAAAACAGCGCAAAGAACGTGTCTCGGGAGTGTTTTCTTTCCCTTGTCGATAAGAAGGAGGTCTTAAAACAATGGGAGGGGCAGGGGTGGGGGGGGGTGTGAGGGAGGGGTGAGAAGGGAGGGTATAGAGAGGGAGAGGAGGGGAGAAAGGAGAAAGAGAGGAGACACACCACGCCAATTGTTACACTAAGCTTTTTCCAAAGCACAAATATTGGAGCAGAGACTTCACATTGACGGACACACCCTCTGCTCGCTGTGACGCTGGTGGGAGCCTGGTGACGCTGGTGGAGGCTTGGTGACGCTGGTGGAGGGCCTGTTGACGCTGGTGGAGGCTTGGTGACGCTGGTGGAGGGCCTGGTGACGCTCGTGGAGGGCTTGGTGACGCTGGTGGAGGCCTGGTGACGCTATTGGTGGGCCTTGTGACGCTATTGGTGGGTCCTGGTGACGCTGGTGGAGGGCCTGGTGGCGCTGGTGGAGGGCCTGGTGACGCTGGTGGAGGCCTGGTGACGCTGTTGGGTGGGCCTGGTGACGCTGGTGGAGGGGCTTGGTGATGCTGACAGCCTTGATGACGCCAGTAGGTTTGAAGCAAAGGAAGGTTGATGACATTAGAGGTGTGGGGATGGTGACGCGAGGAGAAGTGATTGAGAAGGGCTGTTAAATGGTGAGGATAATGGTGACGACTGCTCCGTGGAGAGTGAGAAAAAAAGGGAAAAAAAGGGTCGATGGTACGGAAATGAAATGGTGATGGAGGTGGAGGGGGGAGACGAGGAGTGATGATAACACTAAGAGTTGTGTGGAGAGAGAATGTATGAGGATGTGGAGATAAGAGAAATAGATGATTAGGATAAGAAAGATAAGAGATAAGACAAGGAATTAACAAGACAGGATAATCACGATGCGTATCCTGACACGTTGACGAAGACGTAGACGGCTGCTGCCATCTGTCGCAATCTTGAAGGGTGGAGGAGGCTTCGTCAGCAGTAAAGGGGAGGAGGACGACCCTCTCTGAACAGCACGACCCTCCTCTACTACGACTACTACACTACCCTGCTGACACAGCTATCGGGGCTTCCCTTATTGTATCCTCTCTCTCTCTCTCTCTCTCTCTCTCTCTCTCTCTCTCTCTCTCTCTCTCTCTCACATCCTGTTCGTCCATCAACCTTACAAGTGAATCATCATCACCAGCAACACATCGATACAACACACGACAGAAACACTCGCCTCTCTCTGGGTACTGTAGTAAGCTTCAACAACCCCTAAGGTCTTTTAAGCGTGTAACAGGATTATTAATTACGTTAATCCATCAACAGTTAAGATTAAGAGAGATACAACATTGTTTACTCTGGGGTATTTACGTCTGTTGAACAATACAGACGTAACTTGATTTAATATTACGTCTTTTGTTGATGACGTTAAAAACAGTTAATCCCGGATGTCGACTTGTAATAGACGTAAATCATTGAACCACAGGAAGACAAGAGACGATATGATGATGTTATTAACCTTTGGATCACATTTGGTTGGTGATAGTTGAGTTTAATAAATAAAACCTCGGTGGTGTTTAGTCTCCCGTGGTGGTAGATTGTGTAATACTTCTGGAGCTCTTGTTGTGGTGGCCTCTGTTGTGTGTGTTCTTGTTTCTGTGTTGTGGTGAGCTATGGAAATTCTCCCTCGGGTCCCTCCTCCTCCCTCGACACACCTACCACCTCTCCATCCTTCTCCCCTCATTACCCCCTGGTCTCTTCTTCTCCCTCCTCTCCCTTACCTCTTCCCCTACACACCCAGACCCTCCATCCACCCCCATCCCCAACACACCCTTCCCCTCCCTCGTGAGAAGCCCTACGCCCTCCATCTTTTAATGAAAATTCATAGTTGAGTGGTTCTTAGTATGTTGGGAAAGAGGGAGCCGCCCCCCCCCCCCATTATCTCCTGCCTCGCTCTCCATCCTCTTCATATTTTCCACGACCCCTCCCTCCACCCCTCCAGGCTCCTTCCTTCCTTCCTCCACACCTCCAAGTCCCTCCCTCCCTCTACAACTCCAAGCCCCTCCCTCCCTATACACCTCCAGGCCTCTCCTCCCTCCACACCACCTCTCACGTACGAAGGAGGGGACTATAGGCTGGTAGAAGAGATGAGGAGGGAACAAGCAGCTGGATAATGGAGGCGCGAACCTGCCTCTTCCCTCCAAATCCTCACCAACTACTCTCTCCTTCCCTTCCATCACGTCCATATCTCCACACCAACACCCCCACCCCTTCCCTTCTTCCTCCTCCACCCCTCCTTTTTTCCTCCTCCTCCTTCACCCCACCCCCCACAAGTTATGCAACACGTAATGATACACACATAAAAGTTCCCGCGATACATTAAACCTTTTACCAATCACACAAGACACGTAATCTACTTAGGAAGGTTATCTTAATGTGCAGAAAAAACGAGAACCAGGAAATGACCAAGGGGGAACTTAAGAGAAACACCGACGGCCTCAAAAACTCTCAAGATATCAGGAACATCTAGTTAAAGATATGTGCAACAGGTGTTAAGAAATATAAAAAAATAGGGAAAAAATGCTGTTACCTATTACAGGAGGAAATAGATCATAAGAGACTCGACTGGAGGACAAAATACAATATTAAGAAGAGGAGGATAATTTGTTTTCATTTTTCCATCGATTTTTTTTATTATTTTATTATACCTGTAGAACGACAACAAGATGCCAGACTCAACAACGACAACAACAACGACGACGACATGTTTCAAATGAGTCTTAGGTATGTGGAGTAGGAGGTTGAGGGAGGGGGGGTGGGAGGGGAAAGAGGAAGAAATTGAGAGGAAGGGAGGGTGAAGGGAGAAGGGAGGGGGGTGAGGGGGAAAGACACTGCTTACGGACAGAACCAGCTGGTCCCCCTCCCCCAGCACACTCCACCTCTCAATCTTACTATCTGGATAAAACACACACACACACACACACACACACACACACACACACACACACACACACACACACACACACACACACACACACACACACACTACAAGAAGGTACTAAAGGAAAGTAACATTACAAAAAGGACAGTAGTCAGCAGGAGAGAACGTGACAAAGGTTCTACAAAAGGTCCTGTAGGATTAATTCAGGACGTAGTGGTCAAGTGTCAGCACGAGGAGAGATTGTCCTTCAAGTCCAACCACATCGAGGACAACCACACAATCTACAAAATCACACCCAGATAAACCTCATAAACTACAGGTAAGAGAGACGGATACCAACCCACAGGTAAGACCACACCACACCACACCACACCACACCACACCACACCACACCACACCACACCACACCACAGCCAGGAAACACTCGACAGGACACAGACTTATGACACTGAAGGAAGACACTATTTATGACGATCAAATTACACGTCAAAGTAATAACTGGTAATGAGAGGAAAGACTATGGTAACATTAGTAGTAGAGGCAGCGTGGAGGCAGTAGAGGCAGCGTGGGGGAAGTAGAGGCAGCGTGGAGGCAGTAGAGGCAGCGTGGAGGCGATAGAGGCAGCGTGGTGGAAGTAGAGGCAGCGTGGAGGCAGTAGAGGCAGTAAAACACATTAAAGGAAGGCTTAAGTCACCTGTCCACCCCTCCACCCCTCTTTATAGTGTAGTTCCTGGAGCTATTAAGGCAGTGTCTAATGTCCCTTCTTCCCCAACATACTTCCCCACCCTCCCCCAACACCCTTCCCCACTACTCGGTTCCCCCACCTTCACCACCTAACTAACTCCACCTATGCTCCCCTCTCTCTTTCTCCCCTATGGTTCTCAACTCCCCTAAATCCCCTAGTCTCACACACCCCTCTTCCCTTCATCCTCTCATCCCCTCTTCCTCATTTTCCGGGGCTGACGTCTCTCTCTCTCTCTCTCTCTCTCTCTCTCTCTCTCACACACACACCATATTCCACGACTTAAGGGTTGTGTATACCGTGAACTGTGTGTGTGTGTGTGTGTGTGTGTGTGTGTGTGTGTGTGTGTGTGTGTGTGTGTGTGTGTGTGTGTGTGTGTGTGTGTGTGTGTGTGTGTGTGTACTTCTCATGAGAGTATAAATTTACCTCCATACACTCACTCGCTATTCAATGATTATGTGCGTTGTTACCAGGACCACTAGATTCCTGTTGAATTACTTAACTCATTCGTCCCCCTTCTACCATTTACACTCACTGTTTACGAGGATATGTGTCCCATTAATACACTTCCGTTATGTTATGAGGGAAACTGCATCTTGTGTGGATGGGAGTAATCACTTTACATCTCCAGCGCCTTGTTTGTTTAAGTACGTCCGGAAATGCACTCAAAATGGCTGAGGGTTCCACACGGTATAAACAGATTACTCTTCTTCTTCCCTCGATCGACCCTCTTCTATCCTTTCTCATCTCCTTCTTCCCTATCCTCTTCACCCTCTCCTTTACTTCCTTCTACCTTACTCCCCAATCTCTTTCTGCACTCTCCTCCTTTTCATCCATCTCCCCCTTCCTTTCCTTGTCCCCCAGCACCCTCACTTCCCTCCACCACCTCCACCTCTCTCCACCACCTCCACCTCTCTCCACCACCCTCCCCCCCCCTTCATCAGCGACTCTGCCACAACTAACAGCGTCTGCATCATTTCTAGGCGGATGTTAACAAGCAAACGACCTGGTAAAACAGGTGACACATGTAAATCAAGTCAAACATGCAAACGTGTCGAGGCTAAGGTCCCCAGAACACACTAAGACGCGCCCCCAGGAACGTGAAAATGCCAACCGGGCCATTGAGTCACCCCCCTCCTCAACCCTCACGCCCCTACCTCAAAACTTCGACAATTTTCTCACTTTCTCCCTCCATGGATATTCTATCTCTGGAGTCTCGCCTACGTGAGGAAATGTATTAACGACGCCCAATATATACTTGAACCTCTGAGGCTTCTCCACTGTTGTCAAGGGAGAAACTCTGGTGGAATATGGAGGAGTTTATCAGATCTTCAGTGATATTCTTTAACAATTATTTGATTCTAATTAATAAGAGAAATATTAAACGCTGTACATGTAGACTCTATATTAATAAGCGTGGCCGAAGAAAAGGTTAATATATGAGAGTGCACTACAGCTCCCCCTCACAGGCCTTTAGTCCACAAGGAGTCTCCGCTAACTAAGACCAACAGCATTACACAAGGTCGGCCATTACGTGTAAGCAGACCCCGCCACACTAACTCGTGACTCGACCAATTCCAACATTCCTAATTCCAAGTGGGTCCGTCGCGAGTGTTCCTGGTCGATCCAAATCAAATCAGGAGCGCAAGACTCACGACCAACTGGAAATAAGCCAAGTACGCAGCCATCTGCCTGGGCCACAGCCTGGAAAACTGGTAATCCTACAAGACGCTTCCAGCTAATGTCCATGATATGGCCGTCATAAACTGACTTTACTGAGAGAAAAGAATAACTTTTATCCACCGCACCATCACCATGACGTCATCACGAGGCGGCTGAGTATTTATCTTATCTTAGTATGAATATTTAACAAAAAATCTCACATTACTTCCCCTTTTCTCTATATCATCACGTTCTCACTCTGCTACAAGAGGCTGGA